AACTCTGATATTCCAACACCAGAACTGTTTTTTGTAGGGCTTCTAATTAAGCCTGACCAGTTCTTTCAATTATGGAATATGCTTAGTGTCTTGCTGAACTTAAGTTAGGTTGACCAAAACTTTTTCAGCTCCAGAAAGGAAAACAAACTAAGAAAATATTTTGATCAAAACAGTTTTCTCTGAACAGCCCTATTCCATTGATCAAAAACTTGGACAGGGAAGTAACAGTTTTGTGACCAAAAAATTGTGTCTTTGTGCCATGACGAAAGCCTCCAGAAGGTTTCCTGCATTAACACTGACATATCTGCAGATGACACTGTCCCTGACCACCTCTGTTCTTCCAGAGGTCCTGGTGTTTACTTCATTTTGGCCTTAAGAAATCTTGCTAATAGCATTATTAGGCAAAAAAATGTATTCAATTAAGGAGAAAAATTAAGACAGGATCTTTTTATAGCTTGTTTGGGACTGCAGAGGAGTCGAATAGGGGAGCTGAGAGCATGGACTCAACTATCTTGGTGGTAATAAATCAAATGTTTGCATATCATTAAGATGTTTTTAAGCAGTAAATTCCTTTCTGTGTTTTGTAGCTACAGAAAGCTAATGAGTCTTACATAGCACCCTGAAAGCTGATAAACGAAAGTTCTTCGGACTGTGACTAGAACAAGCCTCAGCATTGAAGGACCCGTCAGAGAAATTACTCTACCCACATCTGGGCCATTTGGATGGTTTCCAGCTAGAAGCTTTTGCTTATTTGTGTCTTGGGTAAAGATGCAACCTTTTAAATAAGGACCCAAGATATTTTAGCATTTAATAATTAAGACTAACTTAGTGGAGCATGGGTTTGAAAGGTCTGATCACCTCATTATTTAGGAAGTCGGTATGGTTCTTGTATGCTGTGCACGGATTCAGGGAAAAATGAAGGTCAGTCTGCTGTTTTTATGTGGAGTAACAGGTGTGAAAAGTTAGTGTGGTTCAACAGTAGATTTCTCTTGCTTGGGTCTAGAATTGACAAAGAATCCACATTCAACTGATTTGTTTTAATTTTCCTGTTTACTTATAAGCTGTATTTAATTTTTGAGTTCTGTGGTTTGAGCAGTGATCAGTGCCAGAATTTGCCTTGAAATCTGTGGAAGAATAAAATAGTTCTTGGATACTATCATAAGGAACCAAAGTGTAAGCACAGTTAGAGCAAATAGAACAACTGACACAATGTGAGAGTTGTTGAGTCATAGTGAGCTGTTGATAAGCAGCCCTCTTAGCTTTTCTGTAAGATTTTCTTTTTTTAAAAAAAATACTCTGACATCATGGTGTAAATTTTAACCAGAATTCTGGGTTTGGGGTGCGATTTGATACTTCTCTCTTCTAAAATGCAGTAGTTTATCAAATTTAGTAGCATCTTAATTACCATAGAAAAATAATTGCCCTTTTTAAGGAGGTATTTTGATGCAGGTAGTATTTAATGCTCTGAAGTTGGCTCTGTTGTTTCTGTACTTATCATCTAGGTTATTCTTTAAATGGTCAACTCCTTGGGAGATGGCAAGGACACAGAAGATACAGACTAAACCAAAAAAAGCAGCATCCAATTTAATAACATTGTGAGCTGCATCAGTGCTATAGCCATAATTATATGTTGGTTGGTGCTGACCTTACGAAGACCATATTTAGGCTGAAGTAAATTTTAGACCGGCTTATATTGAAATAGACTTTGTATCAAGGGGACAGTTATCCAAATCGCTGTAAAAAAAAATCTTGCTCTAAATGGGGATAAACCTATGAAAGTTTGTTAAACCAAAACTGTTTTTTCTATTCTTTAATAATGCTTTTCCAGTAATTCGAGTGTTTAAATGGTCATCTCCTGCTCTTTCAGTGTAGAGATTGGTGAAAGTGTGAGAGGAGAAGATGTGTACATCATCCAGAGTGGCTGTGGAGAAATAAACGACAACTTAATGGAACTGCTCATCATGATCAATGCTTGCAAGATTGCATCATCCTCCAGAGTGACTGCTGTAATTCCATGTTTTCCATATGCCAGGCAAGATAAGAAAGACAAGGTAGGTAAGAACTGTGTAATTTCAGAATGCTTTTTGTCAGCTTGTTCACTTGAAATTTTTGGAGATGAAACACTTTCATAAACATTTAGGTGATTTGAAAGATTTGCGCTTTTTTTATCCTCTTTTGATAAAATGTTGAATTATTGTGTCCATTCACCTACAGATGATATAAAATATTTTTTGCTTATGTTTTGATAATTGACATGCCTTCAGTTTGAAAAAGTAGGTGCATCCTCTGTGTGTGGTATATTGTAGAGTACTCTGCTAGCAAACCTCACCGTATGGGACTGGTTTTCCTGCTTTTTTTAGCTGCTTTTTTTTTTTTTCTACCTCTATATATGACAAGAGTACACCCTTTTAAACATTTTAATTGCATGGAATTAAATCCTGAATTTGAAGTGCTGTAACCATTATGTAGGTGGGTTTTACCCTACATGGTTAAACAGAGAGCCAAATGTAAGAAACTGATTAAATCTGCAGTGCATAACAGTAATTAATAAAAACTCTATCTGATGCTGCAAGGCAGATTAAAAAAAAGTTCTTATATTGTAATAATTGTTTTTATTGATGCAGACCAAAAATTGTATGGAAACCCCATAAATACTCTTTTGATCTTAGTGCCCTTTTCCTGAATTTGATCTGCCATAACTGATGAATATACCAGTTCAGCCAAGTTGATAACACAGTAACAAACTCTGTGGCAAGTGAGTTTGGTTTTAAAAAATACAGAACTAAACTTTCCTGTCTCTACTATATATACAAAAAACTTCTAATGTGTGATGTGAATGTTACTTTTACCTAAACTCACTTGAAAAGAACTAACAAGACCAAATGTGAATTTGGCTTTTAAGATTGGATTGCAATAGTTGTCTTTTTGGAAAATTGCCCCTCTCCAATACTTCCCATAAATAGATTGCCCCCTCCCTTTCACTTTAGGCATCAAGCAAACCATCCTGAAAGCCTTTTGTTGTTCTTTACATTCTTTTATATAAAACATAACAGGACTGAGAAGTAACTCAGAAGCTAAAAAGAATAACAGATATTACAAAATATATAATGCTCAGCCTGTGATGTCTGAGAACAAAGCTAAATGCGGAAAAGTTATTTTCTAGTATACTCATTCTTTAAGTGCAGGCTCTCTAACACCATACTAACATTATCAAGACCCACTTGTTATGCTTCCAAAAAGAGAATTCAGGAGTTAAATAGTAGCTCCCTATTCTTTGCCTACATCTTTTGGAACTTCATTTTTGCTGTGTGTTGTATTGAATAATGCTCTCCCTTGATCAGGAGAGCTGAAATACTTTTTTTTTTTTTATCGAAAGAGCTTGAAAGGGAAGTGATAAACATTTTGTTTGAAAGGGAGGGAAAGCATCTCACTACATTTTTACTTCCAAATTCATATTGGAAGATTCTGCTGGACCATCCTGTAAGTTCTTGGTGTGGGAAAAGGATGAGTATGTCCCAAGTTTTCCATGCATCGAGGTTATACCTTGTCAAGGATACACAAAATCCGAGAGACACTTCCAAGAGACACTTACAGCCCACAGTGTGGTGGCCCAGCATGCCACCCAGGAGCATTTTGTCTTTTGGAAATGCCATCTGAAGATGGATAGCCTAGGAAAGTGATTTTGATTAACAGAGATTTTGAGCATTGTTCCAGACTGTTCTCTGGGTGTCACTGAGTTCTCCTGCAATTCTAGGCAAGCTGTTTCTTTTTTCTTTTTTTCTTTTTTTCTTTTTTTTTTTTTAACTTCTGTTTTGCAATTGAGAAAATGTTTGCCATCTTTGGAAATTAACCTTGGTAGTTGACCTCCATGTTGCAAAATAAGCTGTAATATAGCTGTTAACATTGGGCAGCTTATTGACAGGGAGATCTTTCCTCCCGCTGTTGGATTGCATCACATCACCTTGGTCTTTGACCCATGTTGAGTGCACAAGCTTTGTATGCTGCCTGAAGTGTCAGTAAAGTGCCAGCCATTTTCTTCCTATGACTATACACAGATTTTCCTCTCTCTGGTGTAAGATATTGCTATAGTTTGCTTGACTATGAACTGAAGCAGTATAACCTTCACTAGCTGGATGCTGTTTTCTGGTTTGAATTTAAGATGTTGACTTTAATCCATAAAGAACTAAATAGACTGAGTCCTTGCTGCTTGAAATAACCCTGTATTCTTCATGCCTCTGTTGCAGTTATGATTACAGAGAACAATGAAAGTGCTCTTGATGTATTTATTTGAGGAAAGGGCCTTGCAGTAAAAAAAATCATACTCTGGACAAGGCCTGTGTAATCTACTCTGGAAATTTCAGCATTGAACCTGGACTATCTTTAAATGAGAAACAGAGGGTTGTTTTTTTTTTTTTAAAAAAAGGCTTGCTGAGAATTGTAGAAAAGTTCATAAATTAATTTAGATGCAATCAAGCGTTGCCATAAACTAGAATACTTCTGATACACAAGCTAGCTAATTTAAAATTAGCTCAGGTGTATTTGTGCTTTGGCCATAGTTGCATTTATGCATCCTGTAATTATGCTAACCTTCCAAGCCATGGGCAGGACACATTTATGTAGGATGCTAGAGAGATGCCTTTGAGATAAGTTAGAAGTAGAGTGACAGGTGAGTTTGGTGTTCTACAGCTCATGTAACTTTGTTTTTTTGATTTGTAGAAGGGGTCCGTGGAGCGTTGGGTAGGTATCCTTTTTTTTTTTTTTTTTTTTAATCTAACGCTATGCATTTCCATTAATATGGCCTTAAAGGGTGAAACTTACTGGGTTACATTATGTATAACTGGGAACATTTTCAGTTTCACTTCTTGATTTCAGTTGTGTTTCACCTAGGCCATGACAATAATCCTGCGGAATAATTTGCTACTAGAAAACTCCTAGCTTCTAGCTAAAAATTTATCTGGCCGTTCAAGATAATGGCTGTCAACTTCTGAAGCTTCAAAGCATATCTTGTTTTTGAAACGATAAATTTAGGTAATATGTTAGCGAACATTCAGTATCCATACACTTCACAACTGGCTTTCTTGGAAGTGAAAGTTCCAGTTATAAATCTTTGGGGTTTCTTGGATTTTTTTCTTTTTTTTTTTTTTTTTTGTTCAGTATGCATGTGATGCATTTTGAGCAAGATAATAAGATGCTTAAAAGCAACAGAGCTTTGATCTTGATGGACAACTTTTACTTTCAGCTACATGTCCTTTGCATAGTTACTCTTGTGAGGTTGTTTATATTAGGTTTGTGGATTTCCCCCCTGCCCCTAGTAATTTTAAGAATTGTGAATAAATTTGTAATGCATCACAAAGGAAGAAATAATTTATATAACTTGTTATATGTAAGCGGGGAATTTGCTTAGGAACTAAAAACTCAGTGATTTTTTTTTTTTTTTTTACAATTTAGTTTTCTGTACATAATGTAATGTTGTGTTTCACACTAATAATTCTGAAACTAATCTCAAATTGTGTCAAAGAATGGAACAATGAATACTATGAATCTCTTTGTGTTCTTGCCTCTCTGATCAGAAGCAAGCCTTACAAACTCCAAGATACAGAGAATCTTGAGTTCTCATCTACCTCTGTCATCCAAGTTTCTGAATAATGAGGCCAGGTTATCTGAGGTTCCCATGAATATACTTCCTTTGATTTTAAAATAATCTTCAATTTAGATCATATTGTGGCATGAAACTTATTTTCTATGCAAGCAATCAAATCTTAAATCCTTTTGAACATGTTGTGTGTTTTCTTTTAATGCACAGTTTTGTGTAAAGGAAACTGTCAGATAGCTGCAAGCTTCATTTGTCTTAATCTCCTGTTAGCCCATTCTTGAGAAACAGGTATTGGTGTCTGGCTATCTTTCCTTCCAAGACCCTCTGTCCACCAACACGTAGGCAATCTGTGATGTGTGCATGTCTGCTAAAACCAATTACCTAGTGGTAAAACCTTGAAGTTCTTCCTTCTGGGAAGGCAGCCTGCAAGGCCAGCAGCTGAAAGAAGTACCAACTGGTAATGTATATGTTAATATTTGATGCAGGAAAGTATTCTGAGGTTTTTTTGTGATGGTGATACATGAGACAAGCTAAGCAGTATTCACAGTGAACAGAAATGGAAAAAAATAAAAGCAAAATTCAATATGGCGAATGGAGCAGAAATGGCAAACCACGTTCTGGGAAGAACGTAACTTGCCTTAAGCAGCTAGCCTGAACTAGTTACTTCTTTCTACCAGAGGGGGTGGTCCTGGTTTTCCATCTTCTTTTCCCTTCTTTTCCATTTGAGCTGCCTCATCTGGCTGCTGGTTCAGACAAGTCCTGGTGCGCAGCACAAGGGAAGTGGTGGAAGTGTGTAACCTGGGAAGAAGGGATGGGACAAGCAGGGGAGCAAACTTCTGGATTCAGCATCACCTGTTACTCCACCTTAGCTGTAGCATCAAACTAGATCTTTGTAAAGAGCTGATAAGAGAACATTGTGGTAGAGTCAAAAGAGTAGAAGCTAAATCTTAGTTAGATGTTGCCAGAGACTTGTGAATATTTTCAAGCCCAGCTTAAAATTGTCAGTTTGTGCTGCAAAGATGAGCTGACGTGATCAGGAGTTTGAATGGCATGAACCGAAAGTTCTAATGTTTCTAATGATAGAAATGTGCAGAAAGCTTTGGCCGACTTGGACCTTACAGAACTGAACTTAAATGAGGAGCAGCATCATCCTCAGTAACTGGAAAATCATCCATGCTGAAGCGCTGGTGATAGCCAACTTATGGAAGCTATATGCATCTGAATTGCAGAGATCTAGGCAAGTGCTAGCTGTTGCATAGATCTTCTGTGTATCTTACACAGACCAAATGGTGGCGATGTTCTGTGAAACACAAAAACCAAAAGGGATCATTTTCAAAATAAAGAATTTCTGTAATGATGGTAAACTTAATCCAGCCATAAGAAAGACTGCAATATCTCAGTTTCTTTTCTGGAAGTATGTTGGCAATCTGCAGGTTAAAACAGAGAAATGCCGAGTTTCCGCCCAAGTTAGAAAAAATTTTGGGGAAAATACTGGCTCCTTGATATGACACAGACAGAAAAGCATCCACATTAAATTGGCAGTGGTTCAGCTTGTTTTAGATTATGCCCTTGAGCATCAGTGGAAGGAGAGCAGAGATGCTCTGTAATTGTGTATGTGGGCTGGCAGGAGACGGAGTTCCTAGGAGGCTAAATGAGGCTGTTTGATAAAGAGATGTAGCGGGAGAGAATACTGTGCCAGCAAAAAACAGAGTCTGACAGTGAGATGGAACCTCTCAATTGCAGTTCTGACTTCATGCTAATTGCCAGCTATTAGCCTTATTTAAAGGTTGGCAAAAAGAAAACAGGAGGTTTTGTTTAGTATTTCTCTTACATACAAAGCTGTCTAGGGCAACATAGCTTTTTTCAGATCTTAAAAAAATCTGAAAAAACTTTGGAGTTGCTCAAAAAGAAAAGTGAGGTATCATCCAGTCATGACTTCCCATCTTTTTTATGTTGCTGTTTGTTCTGCATCCCTGTCACTTTTAAAAAGCTCTTGACATGGGCATTAACTTTGCTAATTAGATTTTTGCTCGTCTTTTGTTCTTTCCACTTCTCTGTTTTTCTCCCCCCCCCATCCCTTTTGGGAATTCTAGACTCCTAATTGCATCCAACAATTAAACCTGAATTAGCAAAAAGGAATAAATAAATAGGCTGGGGTAGAAGACCCCCGCCACCATGGATCTGTTACAAGCTTTACTGTATCATGAAGAAATGCTTGATAGTAACTTTGTTTTAAAGCAGTGTTTTCAAAAGTTGGGTTCACTCCGCCTTCAATCTTTGTTTTTGGCAGTGTTTTTTAGAACAGGATAGTTGCTTGAGAGTTGGATGTTAATGTAGGGTAGTGGCTTAGAGAAATGAAGATTGTCTGTCCTTCTGCTATAGAAAAGCTAGCTGAAAGTTTTGAATAGAAGAATTGGAAAACTATATCCCCATCTGCTTCTTAGTCTAATTACTACAAAGCAGCATTTGGCAGACTGTGCAAACTGATTTAGATATTTCTAAATGTTTTGCTAAGTTTCAGAACTCTAGTAGCAAGATTAGCTATTGACAGGCTAGTTTGGCTATAAAGTTCTGGAGCTCTTCATATCTAGATTCCAAATATTCTAAAGGAAAAATCAATGAAAGTAGCTAACTTTCAGACTCCCTGCATCTAGTCGAAATCTTTTTAAAATTTAAACATTTGTGCTTTATTTCTCAGAGTCGTGCTCCAATCTCTGCAAAACTTGTTGCCAACATGCTGTCAGTTGCAGGGGCTGACCACATCATCACCATGGACTTGCATGCTTCTCAGATCCAGGTAACTGTCAGTTCTTGCTAACTGTGGCTAGGAGCTCTACTGAATTAATGTGAAAGGCTAATATTAATTCTGTGTTGTTTTCCCTCCTTGTTTTGAAAGGCTGTGTGCAGAAGTGTAATTCTCAGGGTTCAGAGAAAGTCTCACTACTGGTTTCTAGTTAAATTCCCTTTATGAAAGAGACCAGCCTTGATTTTATGGGGTGATTTTGCAGGCCCTTCGAATACTTGTGCATTGGAGTCTTCAGTGGACTTTGCCAAGTCTAGTGTAAGAGCTCCCAGAACATAAAATATACTGGTTTGGGGCAAGTTCTCTTAATGTTGGCCTGGTCAGAGATTATAGGATTGCCCTAGATAGAGTTTTGTTGTTACAGCCAAGGGGACAATATTCTCTTAAGAGAAATGGAGATGGAGGCTGACAACCTTTAGCTGGCTTACTGCTGAATCCAGCAAATCACAAAACTCTTTCCTCAGACACAGAGCAGACATTGTTTGTCATTCTCATGTGCACCTCTTTTCAAGATACCTTATTCTCTAGAAGGAACACTTTCACTTCCAGTTCTGGTATTCTGTTTAATTGGAATTTCCTATTATGCTAGATGGCTGTTATGCAAATAAAAAGCAGTTTCATTTGTGGTCTAACACAGATTTTTTGTCACAACTTGCACAAAAAGAAAGAGTCCATTTCTGCTGCTCAAGTAATACTAACTTGAATCTTCCCCATATAGAAATACTACTGTTTATGTCCAGCAGTTGAAATTTATGGAACTTGAGTATTAGTTGCTGGATTTTTTGAGAGCTTTTCACAAGCATGAATTTACTTGAGTGCCTGAAGGTGATCATCTTTTCTGATTTTTGTATCGTTTGAGAACAGCTGTTCTTTATTTTGCTACTCTTGGGGTGAGATTTTGAGACCTTAATATTTGTCTAACTTCTGCTGCATTTGACAGCAATATCAGAGGGCAGAATTAGGCCAGTGTAAAATACTAATTAAAGTTCTACCATACATGAAGGCAAAGGCTTGATTCTTTCCCTGTGTCTTTGTCCCAGGTACAATATAAACATATATTCATTAAACTCTCTTTCTCTTTTGGACTAGGGTTTCTTTGACATTCCAGTAGATAACCTGTATGCAGAACCTGCAGTGCTGCAGTGGATTAAAGAGAACATTTTGGAGTGGAGAAACTGTATCATAGTCTCACCTGATGCAGGTGGTGCAAAAAGGTACTATACAAGCCTAAAACTATTAATTTCCCATTTCCAACCACCACCATTAGTGGCTAATGAATTAGTTTGTCTAGTCTTCTTTTTTCCTCTATGAATTGTGCCAGATACAGGGTACATCACTGATGAATCCAACTGCATTGTAAAAACAGAACAACTAGTTCTTCCAATGTTGTTCATGCTTGAAAACAGCCAGGAGCTTTCTATACCCTAAAGAAAATCTTTTTCTCTCTCCCTGGATATGGCTTCATTAGCTGAATCCCTCCGCAGGAGGGAAGAGATTTTTCCTGCTGCTTGCTTCTTTAGTCCAGTTGCTGCACCTCTTCCTGCTTTGCTCTGGAATTGCCTAAGTTTCCCTTCTCTGTCAAAGCAAATGGCCTATTCCCACTGTACCTGCTGGCATTTAGGTAAGAGCTTGCTTGAGTCATGTTTCTTTTTTCTTTACGTTATTGCATTCCAGCTGTAAATCTATTGACCCCAAGTTGTGCACTGTGGATACTAGAAAAAGGGAGTGAAGTTTGTTTTGGGGGCCCAAAGGTAGAAATAGAAAAGTTAGTTCGCTGGACTGTCTCTTCATTCACAGCATGCGTTACTCATTTAGCAGACTATCTTTTATTTGGTATCTGAATATAAACTAATGCAAAAGCTCAGAAGCATGCTGGCTGGTGAGGCAATAAAGCATGCTGCTGAGGCAAAATGCTTATTCTCGAGTTTTGTTGGTTGTGCTGCTGCTACAAAACTGAATGGGAACAAAGACAAATAAAGTAAGAATCCTGTAAGCCCACAGCACTTTAAATGTTTGGAATGTAATATGGGGAAATACGTGAAAGCCTGTCATAATTTCATTTTAATTGAAGTCCTTGGGTCTGTTGTGAGTGTTCATGTTCTAATAATTAATAGGGAAATAAGACTGATTAGAACTCCATAGTTGTTCCTGTTTAGATTAATCAAGTTAAAGATGTGAAGAATCTAAACTATAGAAAGCATTCTAAAATTCAGATGACTCAGCCAGTGAAATTTCTTTGTTCATATCTGGATACTCTTGTTTTCACAGTTGTTTTTTGTTTGTGGGGTTTTTTTTAAACAAAATACAACCTTTGCTTAGAATTCAAGTCAGAAGACAGCATTTTTTTCCCCTACCAAATATTTGTATATTATCAAGTTGATAGTAAGGGTTCATTTTTTTGAGGACCACTCTCACTGTATTTAACATAGGTAGATAGAGTCTAGCTTTGGTACCTTTCTGTTGTAATGCAACCAAGCAGCTGCTGGTGAAGTAGGGTAAGATGTTGCTTTCAGTAAATTCACAGCTGCTTCTTCATCTCCAGTAATGTTATGTAAAGAAAATGGCTTGGCCTTTCCATTTAAAACATGTAGACCTGCAAAATAATACTTGGGTTAATGAAAAGTGAATAGAATGTGAAGAAAGTTTGTCTTAAAATTTAAATCTGTAAGCATTAAAGATGTTAAAAAAAAAAATGTTCTTGCACTCATTTAAAATATCTGAATTCTTTTTTTGTCTCTTACCATTTGCTTGTTTTTTTCCCAGCTTATTAAATTTTGTTACTGAAACAAGGCATGCAAATTCTAATGATATCTTAATGCCTCTGAGGTATTGAGACTTGCTGTGAAATTACAGTATTGTTCACAAAAAATGCCAAAACATTTGGGGTTTTTGTTTATCACCTAGTTGTTGAAATACAGTAATTAACAACTTCTTCATATTTAAGTGATAAAGAAACAAAACTGTATTCTCTATTAACTGTGCATGTTAATAACCTTGTTAACAACATTCTAAGCGTATTTTAAAAAGACAGGCTACAAGGTTGTGGCAGCATAGAAAAAGCATAGTATTGTTTATTCCTGTGTCTTTATACCTACCAGCTCTGCTATATTAAAAAAAACCTGAAAAAAAGCAAAAAGAAGTCTGTAACAAATTAAGTTTGTTACTGGAGGTTTGCCTGGCCAGCAGAGGTCACCCTGAATAGTTTTAAAAGATCTTTGTCAAGCAGATGTATTGCTAAGGGAATTACTAATGAAGTAAACTACTTGATTACTAGTCAAGTACTGCTAAAAGAATTATTAATCACTATTAACTAACTTGTTTGGTTTTCCCCTTTGGTTTGACTTCACATTCCCACAATGGTATTTTCAGTTAGGATGTTAAAGTGCATGCTGCCATAGGTTTAGAATTGAGGCTTCCTCTAAGTTATCTGTTGTGACTAGGTATTGCAGCAGCTTAATAAAAGCTTGTGAATAGCTGAAATGTTTTCAAAGCCAGGCACTTAATGACAGAAAACCAAAGTTAATTCAATAAAAAAATTAGTTCTGGAGTGTAGCTTAAGACTCTCTGGTTGTATTTATTAGCAGTGAATTAAAATTGTTTCTAAACTGTCTCATTACTTGCAAAAGTTTGTGCTGCGGTAATTTGAAAGCCAAGAAACATAAAAACTGTGCTTTATGACAAATATGCATGTATGGCTCTATTCTTTCTTTTAAAATAAATCTCTGAATGTGGTGTATTTCTTCCTGTAACTTAGGGTTACTTCAATAGCTGACAGACTGAATGTGGAATTTGCTCTCATTCATAAGGAAAGAAAGAAGGCAAATGAAGTGGACAGAATGGTCTTGGTTGGTGATGTGAAAGACAGAGTAGCAATTCTTGTCGATGATATGGCTGACACGTGTGGCACAATATGTCATGCAGCAGACAAGTAAGTATTATTATGAACTGGCCCACTGTCTCACTGTACTGTAACCTGCAGATAGCTGATGAACGCACTTGCTGTGTCCTGCATGCCTATAACCCAGCCTGACCTCTGTAACATGAAGTCATTCTGATCCTTGAGTCTATAGGTCACAGTCCTGTGATCAGAACATGGAATTGAGAAAATATTTACAGAAATATATTACCTGTATTTAGAAAGAGGACAGAATAAATAAAAAGTCGTATAACTTGGAAGGGACTTGGGCCATCTAGTCCATTTTTCAGTTCCAAGGCAGAAATGACAGATAGAAAATCATTCTCTTAAACCTCATCATGGAGCCTTTCCACTCTCCTTAGGCAATCTTTCACAAAGCTTTACTAGATTTAACATTGGAAAGTATTTTCTCCCCAGTGTTCAGTGCATGTTGAATAATAATCTTTCATGTACATCTTCGGTATAAAACTACTTGTCATTTTCATCCGGGGAGGTGAAAATAAGCTTTCCTGTCTTTTGTCTAGAAGTTAGTTCTGGAAGAGTGTTCTCCTTCCCCTCTAGACTAAGTAACTTCAGTTTGTTCAGTCTTCCCACATGGTTTCTAGAATTCTGCTCTGTTGTTGATGCCCTCTGTATTCTTTCCAGTTGGTCTGCTTCTTGAAGTGGAGCATGTGAATGTAGACCCACTATCTTAACTGAGGCCCTAGCAGTGCTAAGTAGAAAGGATTACTTTATGGTTTTCCAGCTGGCTTTATGCTGGTACATTTCAGGCTAGTAGTAGGGTTTTTTTCCACAGAAGTTGGCATTGTTGACTGCACTGAACTTTGGTAATGTCTGTAGCCTTTAAAAAAATTGCTGAATCCTGAAATGATTAATTCTTCTATGGCTGTAGTTTCACAATTGAGTATGTATGGCAGTAACTCTAGCTTCAAAATTGCCTTGACAAATCGGAGGAATGGACTGAAATTATGAGGTATTACAGTTGAGCAGTGCTAGACGAAAGTGCTCCTGCCTGTCCACTCATATCCAAACATGTGCTACCGACTTCGGTTTGGGAGGTCAAGGGCTGCAGTCTAAACTGACAATCATAGAATTGTTTAGGTTGGAAAAGACCTTTAAGATCATCCAGTCCAACCATTAACTTGGCCAGAGTCCTGAGGTTTTAAATCTTCCATTCAAAGATCTTGCATTTTGATATTGTTTATAGCAAAGCCCATCCCCATATGATTGTAAATAGTGCACGTTGGAAGCGGAAAGGAACTGCTGAGGAGCAAGACACGGGAATGTTTTAAATTGATGTTGCTGAACATTTACTGTAGCATTGCTACTCTTGGACGTAATCCTTTCTAAAGCTAGTATGTCTCAGTTGAGAGCATTTTGAATTTGTGTTCCTGTCCAATATATTTGTAGACACTATGAGAGTATCAAATAGTTTTGCATCCAAACAGGTACTTCCTGCCTGACTTTTTGATAGAGGTTGGAAAGGACCTTTAAGATCACCAAGTCCAACCATTAACCTAGCACTGCCAAGTCCACCACTAAACCATGTCCCTAAGTGCCACACCCACATGTCTTTCAAATCCCTCCAGGGATGGTGCCTCAACCACTTCCCTGGGAAGCCTGTTCCAACACTCAATAACCCTTTTGGTGAAGGAATTTTTCCTAATATCCAATCTTGGCCTCCCCTGGCTAGTTACTAGGGCAAAGAGACTGACACCCACTTTGCTACAACCTCCTTTCAGGTAGTTGTGGAGAGTGATAAGGTCTCCCCTCAGCCTCCTTTTCTCCAGGCTAAACAACCCCAGTTCCTACAGCCACTCCTCCTAAGACTTGCTCTCTAGACCCTTCACCAGCTTCATTGTCCTTTGGATATGCTCCATCCACCTCAATGTCTTTCTTGTATTGAGGGGCCCAAAACTGGACACAGTATTCCAGGTGGGGCCTCACCAGCGCCGAGTACAGGGGGACAATCACCTCCCTGCTCCTGCTGGCCACACTATTCCTGATACAAGCCAGGATGCTGTTGGCCTTCTTGGCCACCTGGGCACACTGCTGGCTCATGTTCAGCTGGCTGTCTACCAACACCCCCAGGTCCTTTTCGGCCAGGCGGCTTTCCAGCCACTCCTCCCCAAGCCTGTAGCGTTGCATGGGGTTGTTGTGACCGAAGTGCAGGACCCAGCACTTGGCCTTGTTGAACCTCATACAGTTGGCCTCGGCCCATCGGTCCAGCCTGTCCAGATCCCTCTGGAGAGGCTTTCTACCCTCGAGCAGATCAACACTCCCACCCAGTTTGGTGTCATCTGCAAACTTACTGAGGGTGCACTCAATCCCCTCGTCCAGATCATTGATAAAGATATTAAACAGAACTGTCCACAACACAGAGCCCTGGGGAACACTACTTGTGACTGGCCACTAACTGGGTTTAACTCCATTCACCACAACTCTTTGGGCTTGACCATCCAGCCAGTTTTTTACCAAGTGAAGAGTATGCCCGTCCAAGCCACAAGCAGCCAATTTCTGCAGGAGGATGCTATGGGAAACAGTGTCAGAGCAACAGGGTGAAGCTTAATTGAGCTAGACGTTACTTTTGGTGGTTTGAAGTAAAGATCATCCCATGAGTTTACAGTGTTTAGTTGCAGACTTGCTGTTTGCATCTAGATAAAAAGGATTTCAAAAACTCATGGTAGAGGGATTCATATAGTCTGTGGGTATTTTTCACTTTGATGGGATTCTGATGGAATTTTGCAAAGAGATGTTGTACAGCTGTTTGCTATCTGCATACTAATCTGCATCAGACCCCAGAGTGTGCTTCTGGGCTGTGTCCTTTGCAGATCAAAATCACAAATTGCCTAGCCAATCATTTTTTTTATACTCCTGTGCGTAGAGGAAGTTAATTCCTGTTAAAAAGGAGACCTTTATTTCTTTCCTGTTATGAAATAAGCTCTTCTTTATTTACCTACAGTAGATTTCTATAGAGCAAATTCTAAAACCATCAGAAACCTTCAATGTATCTGCAGTGTTCACTGACAGTTGCTTTTGCTTGAGTGATGCTGTCTTATATCATGTTCTTGGCATGAAGTATTGCTTTTCATTAATGCCAAGTCTAGGTGAGATGCACTTTGTGCTTAATTAGACTTGCTCACTAAAATATTTTTTTAGACCTCTTTTTATCTTAGCAACCTAGATGCGTATCAAGCAGATGAACTAAGAAATGTGTTTTCAGATACAGCAGATCAACTTGCTTAAGTACAAACTTAAGCACACAGCCTTGGTACACATTCACCCTGTTGCAGTGCATCCTCCTTGTAGGTCACAGCTACTAAATGTAATGCTAAGAATGACCAGAAAACTTTAATTCTGCTGAGCATTCAAAATGTGATGATGTTTCTGTGGTTTTGTCTTTTTTCCTATCTTACTGTGCTTATGCTATGATATGATAAAATACCACTCTTCAGGGCCTCCATTTGTAAGACTAGAAAAGCAGCTAGGACATAGGTGAGCCTGTGGACACAGAGAGGCCAGTCCAAACCAAAGTAAGAAGACTTATTCACAAGGTGTTTTAGTTCTTTGATTTATACTTTTTTTTTCCCCTATGCCGCATCATTTCACTGCATGCTTGGATCAGCAGCACGTCTTCCCACAACCTTGCAGTAAGATAGGCTTTTAATCATGAACATTTCTTCTTCCTCAGAAACTCTTTCCAAGCAGAATTGTTTGAATTGCAAATGAAAATAAAGGTGGACAATAATGGAGGCACAGTAGAGTTGTGAATACTGCCATCCAACTTACTTCATTGTTGCCTGATTAAGATAGAAAACTTGTACTGGAATTCAGTTGTATGTTGTGCTGATATGGTCAAAAGTGCAGCATTTTAGATTAGTATCACTGCTACTGATAAGAACTTTTTTATTTAATTAGCAGTTTGGGCGGGGGGGCGGGGGGTGTGAGACTTACTCGTATAACCTGAAAAAGTTTAGAATTCTCTGAATTATTTTGTAGGTACTTGTATTTTCCTGTAGCTTCCAGGAGGAGTGTGTGTAAAATGTATTTTACAGAAATTTTTATCTGGCTGCTTCTATAGCCATTTATGTAAACATGCATCACAGCGTACTTTTCCTTCATGTTCTACAGGTTAGTATCTGCTGGAGCTACTAAAGTTTACGCCATTCTTACTCATGGCATCTTTTCTGGTCCTGCTATTTCTCGGATTAATAATGCATCATTTGAGGCTGTTGTGGTAACTAATACAATCCCCCAAGAAGAGAAAATGAAACACTGCCCAAAAATTCAGGTACAGTGGTGCTTTTGTCATCTGTTTAAACTCTGGATTTGTATTTTACTGTTCACTGATGCTAGAACTTGTGCCTTGAGAGGAAAATAATATTTTAAAATACATTGTGCAGCTTTGTTTGCAGAACATCTTGCTAAAACATGCCAAAGAACTGTTTTAAGGGGATTCAGGTAGTACAGTAGAGTATTGCAAAATATTTGGTGTTTGCAACAGATTGAGTGTGCCTGTCTGTTCAAGAGTGGCAAATGTAAAATTGGCTGGGGTTTGGTTTTTTTCATCATATTAATCTTACAATACTTGTATGTAGGAACTTAAGTTAGTTATGTTATTGTGGATGTCACAGAAGTCTTAGGTGATGACTTTTTTTTTTTTTTTTTAAAATACACTAATGAAAATGCTCGAGATAACAATGACATGTTTCTTTTCAGAAATCAAACTGAAAATACAAAGCTGACTTATGTCAGTAGCTTTTACATGAAATTGTTCTGGGAAGTCATGTGTCCCTTTTGGAGTTTTTCCTTAGTACAGAGTGGAGGAAAGCCTAAAAGACTGGGTTTTTTTAATGCAACATTGAATTTTTAAAAAGCTGAAAAATTATTTGGTATTTATTGAAACAAAGCAAGCACTTAAAAGGTATACTTCCCTTAAACTGTGTTTGTGTCAAGTGGACACTGCCATCTGATGGCTAGAATAATTTTTTGACAACATGCCCTATGCCAGAACTCTTCAGCAGTATGCCTGTGCAGCAATCTTACACAAACTTTGAGTTTGTCGTTTGCATTAATGCAATTCTTATGTATATGTTAAGTACCTAATGCTTTAATGTTGTTTTACTTCCTAGAAGAGGTAAGAGAGCACAATGGTAAATTGAATGTTTGTTTGTATGTTTATAAACTGTATAGTTTATTGTTCTTGGCATCCCATAAAAATTATCATCTTGATTTTTCTTTCAGTTTATTGACATTTCCATGATCCTGGCTGAGGCAATTCGAAGAACACACAATGGTGAATCAGTGTCTTACCTGTTCAGTCACGTCCCCTTGTAACTGCAGGAGATTATGTTGCATCTTTGCAAGGGTCCCTTCAGCTAGCACTGTTGTTCTTAACAATGCATCTCAACCACAAGGAATGAGTATCTTTGTACAATTCCAGAGCTTGTGTGTTTAATTATTATATTTGTCTTGTAATTACCATTTGTTCTTTGTAAATGGGCAATAAATCTCCATCTTGCAGAAACTTTATGAATTCCCTTGAGAGTCTGGAGGTCTTGTGTGTTGCATAAGTTCTCTTTCATGTGCCTATCCGCACTTTCTGCTAAACTGCTGCTTTGCATCCATTTTTCTATACAGAACTACAAACTGCTTGTAGAACTTAATGGCATGTATGCATGTAAGATCATTTTCTGTGTTAAGCTAAATGCTGCAGGCTTGGGTATCTTGTATCTATTCATCTGTCAGGCAAGCAGCTGTTGGTTTTTGTTTTGTTATGTTTAACTACCATGAATAGTATTTTGTAGGCCCTAACAGAATGTAAACTTCATGTTAATTTTGAGGAGCTGTTGACACATCCAGAGTATTAACTGTGGATCATACACTTTGTGTTCTTTTTTTCCATGTGATATATGTGGCTGCTGGTTTTTTTGTAAAGCTCTCATTACATCAAATCATTTGCCTAACATCAATTCTGTGCAGCTGCTGTCTTTGGTTGTAAGATTAATGTTTCAGTATTCCTGGGATGATTAATTTCATGTGTTCCAATAATAAGGACCAATCTTTAATCATGAGCAGTTTGGTTTAATTTCATTTTTTTTCCCCCGTAGTTTTTGACATTCCTTGGTTGTGATCATATGAATCGTTTCACAGCAGTTTCCCTGTTAATATTGTAAAGCTTCGCTATGCAAAGTCCAAACAGCAAATTTAAACACACTTACATTGATGCAAGCTGGTCACTATCCAGTTACTTGATTAAATAGTATCTGAAAATACTTTTTGGTTTTTTTCAAACTGCACAGTCAATAGAGCTTCAGTTTTCTAGTACAAAGTACCACAGTACTTTACTGTGCAGCCAGTGAACTGTGGTAGACTAACTAGTCTCAAATACCTTAACACTAGAGAATTAAAATTTTGCCTCTTGTATGCTGAGAAGGCTTATGGTTAAGTGCTGGTAATGCAGTCAGTAATGGATTCTGGGGGAAAAAAACAAATCTAATACTGTAATTTTAGGTCTTCCAATCCTTCTATGGAGTGTTTTCAGTCTTCCTGCTAGAAAGGAAGACTTTGCGTATATTAAGATAGTGTTCCTGCACCTAGATCATGGGAAAACTCAGTTTCCGACCTGAAATTGCAGTTGTTAATTACAAAAGCATTTGCCATGCCTGTGGGATGCTTCTTTACTGTGGAGCTGCATAAAAAATAGCCTTATTTCATCCCACCTTGCTTATTCTGGGATATATTTATAATGATACAGTGTTGTATTATAAAATGGATTTCTCCATTCCATTTAAGACATCTTCAGATAGACTATTATTTTGGTTTTGCTGAGAATGAATCTATTTTGTCCTTATATGTGGGTTTTTTCCTATATGAAAATTAGTAAAACAGAATTTCATCTGTACTGCTTTCAGTGATGAATACAAAAATGGGGTATATAAGATACTGTGGTGAAAATTCAGTTCAGCCACTAGTTCTCAGAGGAACTCCTTATTACAGTTGAATTTTCAAAAATATGTTATAACAAAATGGAAGTGAATTTACATTATTGTTTTAATTAGTAACACAATTTTTTAAATGTAAGCTTATTTAACCTATTGTCTTGAAAATACTACTTTGCAGTTAAGCTCTTAACACCTAGTCTGTGGCCACGTAATTATTCCAAAGTTTAGACCTCATTACTGTGCAAAAAGTATACAATACGTTTAACGTACAGTATCAATTCAGTTGCTTTATAGATCATATCTTTGTTACAAACAAAATGCTGAATTGTTTGCCTTTACTGTGCACAAGTATTGTAAATAAATCTTGAAAATTACTTGTGGCAAGAGATTGCTTGTGGTTTTATTCTTTTGATACTTTTTTTTTTTTTTTTTTTTTTGGAGACTGTGCCCTGCACAGGTCAAGTAGGGAAGAATGTAGGCTCTGAATCTCATGCAAACCTTGCTCATAAATCATGCTCCAGCTGTCTTGGACATAAGGATGAACAGTTAATCACACCAGACTGGTACACTTCTTTATAATAAGATCATCCTTCTCCTTCTTTTTACAGTCTGACAGAAGGGACACAATGTTTAAATTTCTTTGGGAGTTTGAGTTAACACGTTAGGAGCAGTTGAAGTTCTTATTTTTCAGATTGTTGTAAGCAAACCCACTCAACTGTATTTAACAGGATGACATGGGGGAAA